TTCCAGTGATAGGATTGAAATGGAAATCACAGTAGTTACCAGGCTTGTCTCCAATATTGGAATCACCTAAGAGCTTCAAAAAATACTGATTCCTGTGTCCCACCTCCAGAGATTGTGATTTCATTCTTCTGGAGTGCAGTCTGGGCTATGAAATTTTTAAAAGATCTTCGGGTGATTCTAATGTGCAGACAAGTTTGGGAACTGCTGGTAGATCATGTGGAAAACCAATCAACATTAGAGAATCTACGCTGGGGAGGAAACCTGACTGATGTTATGAAGGCTCTGCAAGCATTTAAATGTCACTTCAGTTACATGCATGCACACAGCAGTGTTTGTGATGTGTAGGAAACATTTCCACTTAAATTCAAGAACCTTTTAATAGCAAGATATCACAGTGACAAAGAATCCATGATAATGGGATAGTGGAAAGTACTGGGGGCTGGGTATTAGGACCCTGGCTCTGTCATTCTCCAACTATATGATTTTTTTTTCCTCCTAGTGTCTGGAGAAAAAACTCTAAAAGTTCTAGACTGTGAGCTTTTACTAACTTTACTAACTAAAATTTCCCAACTTTTCCATTTGAAAGCATTTCAGATTTGCAAAAAGCATGCAAAAATAGTACAAAGAATTCCCATAAGCCCTTCACCTAGCTTCCCCAAGTGATAACATCTTACAAAGTTATTAAAATCAGGAAATCAACATTAATACAATTTTACTAACTAATCTGCAAATTTTGCCAATTATCCCACTAATACACTTTTTCTAGGCTAAGAACAAATCCAGGATCTCACATTGCATTTAGTTGTGTGTACGTGTGTGTGTTTGTTAACTCTGACAAAAAATTATCAAGCCTATCCAAAAAGGTTGCAACAATTGTACAGCTAATTCTAGTATGCCCTTCCCCTAGATATATCAGTTCTTAGCAGCTTGCCACATTTGCCTTCAAGCTTTCTCTCTGTATAATTCAGGTTTTTTACTGAAGCATTTCAGTAAAAATGTTTTTTTTTTTTTTACTGAAGTTTCAGACATTGTGATCCCTTACCGTAAATATGTGAGTGAGCATCTCCTAAGAACAAGAACATTCTTTTATAATAACCGTCTTATAAAAATTATCCTCTTATCAAATTCAGGAAATTTAACATTGTTACTATGGACAAAGGATGTGGTCTGCCATTTCAATAAAGAAAGGATGTTGCTACCCTCAAGCCATCAGCCACCATAGCTGCCCACAAGAGTGCACCCTGAGGAGAACTCAGGATGGAGATAAACAGGATACTAGTCCTTAGAGAGTTGAAGTGCATATCAAAGGCATGATTTCAGTGAGCCCAGATTCTTGCATCTTCCCATACATAGAAAAGTGCTAAATTCATTAACCTGAGATGTCTGGTTTTCTTTAATTAACGGTAATCTTTTAATATTCTGACGACCTGTTTTTGTTGTTTTTGTTTTTTTCACAAAAACTCCTATACAGTATATCCTGGTTCCTCCCTTACCTCTTTGGAACAGCCCCTTGGAGCTATCTGAGAGGCTGTCTCCGGGCTTCAGTCCTCAGTAAGTCCACTGAATAAAACATAATTCTCGGGCTTCCCTGGTGGCGCAGTGGTTGAGAGTCCGCCTGCCGATGCAAGGGACAGGGGTTTGTGCCCCGGTCCGGGAGGATCCCATGTGCCGCGGAGCGGCTGGGCCCGTGGGCCATGGCAGCTGGGCCTGCGCGTCCGGAGCCTGTGCTCCGCCACGGGAGAGGCCACAGCAGTGAGAGGCCCGCGTACCGCAAAACAAAACAAAAACATAATTCTCAACTCTTAGGTTATATGTTCTTTTTCAGTCGACATTCTAATACTATTGATCTATTATAACATCTGGTCTGTATTCAGATTTCACCAGTTGTCTGAATACTGTCCTTCATAGTAATTTCTTTTTTTTGTCATCTAGGATTTAATCCAGAATCAAGCTTTGCATTTACTTATCATGTCTCTTTTATTTCCCTTAAGCTGAAATAGCTCTTCAGCCTTTCTTTGTCTTTCATGACATTGACATTTTTGTAAAGTACAGGCCAGTTTTTGAATGGCCCTCAACTTGCCTTTGTCTAGATCAGTGTTTCTCAAAGTATCTTCTGTGACTGGTGCTGGTCTATACACCAGTGTCACCCAATAATGAGGTGTCAACATAGAAACTGAAATTATGCCTTTGAAAATAATTTTATGTCTGTTTTATAATAAAAATGGGAGTTTATATTTTTATGTCTTGATTTCCTTTTTCTAAGAATTCATTTTTGTTGTATTTTATAAAATATCAGTCCTCAATGGGTTGGATATTTTCTTTAAAAAAGTCCTTTGTCACAGCTACTTTGAGCAGCACTGGTCTAGATGAGCTTTGTGAAGCTAAGGACTGTGCTTTATTCACCTGAATCCATTGCATTCAGACCGTACCTGGCAGAGTTCAGTGAATGGGTTGCCTGTGGGATGGCTTAAAATGGCCATTCCTTTATTAGAGACACTTATGCCAAGTTCAAATCTGTCTCTCCATAAATTCTACATAGGAACCTTCCTTCTGCCTTCAAAAACATACAACATGTCTATGCATATACTTATGTGTTAGCTTTTCAGAGATTTAAAAACTGATAACAAGTCTTAAAGCCCCAGTCTACTCCAAGCAAAAGTAGCTCCATTTCTTTTACCATTTGTAGTGATTAGGATTAAGTTTTGCTGAAAATAAGAACACCTCAAATAAGAATGGCTTATTGACTTTGTTTCTTATGTTCTGCAAGCTCAGAGGTGTCATTCTAGGGCTGGTAGGGAAGTTTCCCAAATCATCAGGGACCCAGCACCCCTCTATTTTGCTGTCCCATTGTCCCCAATGTGTGACTTTTACACTATGGTCCAAGATGTTTGCTGATGCTCTAGCTATTACATCTGCATTCCTGCCAGCAGATGG